CTCTCCCAGAAAACATACTTTGAATTCCCCAGCCCCACTGCTGGGTTCCTCAAAGAGGCTGGGAGCCCTCCCAGTGCTCTTCAGACAGGGAAAGGGCCCAGTGAGAAAGGAAGCCAGGGAGGTCCTAGGTGCAAACGCCCAAACTGGTCTTGGGCTGGTTCCATCTGGGTCCTGTCTATTTTGATGGACTTTGACTCCTCCTGAAGTTGAAAGTATCAGAACTAAGAAGGATGCCAAAGGCTGGCACCATGACAATCTAGAAAGCCACAGACACAGTTTTCAGAGGGTTTGCCAAGGTCTCACCTGCTAACATTATCCCCCAGGTATCCCCTTCACTTCCTCGCCCTGGACACACACATGGACACACCCCTCGGGTGAGCACAGCCTCTATGCTCACCCCCAACCCCAGGGTAGTGTGACATAATAGCTGTAGCCCCAGACTGGTCCCAGGGAATTCCAGGAAGCCTTTTCATCTCTGGGTCTTCATTTCCTCCTCTGCTGAATGGGCTGATGTGTACCTTACCCACCCTACAGTACACTTTAGAGGACACAACAGGAAAAAGCCTAAGATGTGGGAATAGCCTCCCATCATGGCAATCTGGGTTTGCGATCCAGTGCTGTCTTGAGGCCCTCTCTCACCTACTCTGGGCTCCCCTGTAAAGTGGAAAGGTGACCAGAGATCAGTTCTAAGCCCCTTCTAGCATTACTATTCTATGATTCTGTAATATATGAAACCCCTAAAGACGTTTATCTCTGGGGAAAAGAGATCCATTGTCATATGGGAAGTGTTATTTGAATGTACAGCATGTGGCTTTCTATCTGGTCTTGGAGAGAAATTTATGTAAGACGGCTGTGACAATTAGGGAGTAAGGATACAGGCCTCCAAAAAGGCGTGTTCCCCAGCGTCTGTCTGAACTTCCTTGTAGCTCTGATAAAGCTGTCTGCTAACTTGAGGAAGGCCTGCCAAAACTGACAGCTATTTATGAAATAATTTACCTTGGATGGTGTAAAAGCTCACAGTGGAAACCGCAATCACACATACATCCTGTTTGCATTTCTCTGGGCACGACAGTTCCATCCCAGCCCTGCTGGCTGGCTCTGGCTCCGAGGGTCAAGGGTTGTGCAGGGGCTGAGGCAGGGCGGGGCTGCTCCTCCTGAGCCCCTGGGGGGGGGGCAGCCCACTGAGCACCAGCCTCCTCCTTCTGCAGTTCTGGAAGAGGCACCCCTGCCCCTGAAAGAGAAGCAGGACCAGGACGGCTGAGATGTGACTCTGGTCAATGCCAGTTACTGTGCCTGGAATCATGCCCCCGCTGGAAGGCTGACATAAGAGTGGCCAGGCGCACAGATCACAGCAGAGATGCAGAGTAGCAGAGAAGGGAGAACAGTTAAAAGGCCAGACATTGAAAAGACACCCCTTTCACACAGCTCCAGAGATGTGGTACCTTGGCAGGCATCGTCTCTAACCTCCACGGTGAATCAACCTCTGCAATTCCATCTCCAGGAGAACCTCTCTGTATGGTGCTCCAGGCACTGTGCTCGGGGTTAAGACGTATTACCCATGGCATTTGACCTCTCTGCAGCCTTCTGATCACACTGCATGCAGCTATTCTTGTTTTGCAGAGGAGGAAATTGAAGTTCAGAGAACTTGAGACACTTGCCCAAAGTCAGAGACGTCCTTGGAGACTGCTAGGGCCCAGATTCTCCAAGCACTCCTCAGACACAATTCCACCACTCAGCTTTGTACATCAGAGGGAGACAGAAACGCTCTGGCATAGCCCTGACCTTTGAGTTGAGGACCTAGGGAAGGCTGAGGAGGGCCTGGGGACAGAGCACACAGCAAGACCCCAGATCTGACTGAAGAACTAGAGGCCCAGACAAGAATACCTGCAACTGGAGAGGCCTCAGGTTCAAGACCAGGAGTTCTTAACAGAAGAGAGAGTAGGGAGAGGAGAAGAGGATGTCAGGGCTGCACACTGGGAAGGGACTCTGACACCAGCTCCCCCAGGTGGGGGGGGGGAGACCCAGCCAGTCTCCTGCTCCTACACATAGGGAAACCGAGGCCCGGAATAGGAAGGAGGCACCCCAACAGAGGTGTACTCTATTGGGATCAAACTATCCTGTGGGTAATGTGCAGGACTTTTTCTGGGATTTTATAGGCACTTGTGTGCACCTAAGCAGGTCTGGGAGTAGGGGAATGTGGGTGTGGGCATCAATCCAAGTCAGGGCCCCCAGGAACCCTGGGTGTGGAGACAGGCAGAGCTACCATGTGCGGGATCGGCCCTGAGCCTGCAGATGCAGATGGAGAACCCCAAGGCCAGCACTGACCACCACACCTCTAGCCAGATGAATCTGGGTCCCGATCTCAGTTCTGCACCACCACCATCCCAAACTGCTAGGCACATCAGGCAAGTTCCTGGACCTCTCTGAGGCTGCTTCCTCCTCTTACACTAAGTAGGATTTAGCAAACATTTAGTAAGTACTGTGCCAGGTACAGTAGCAAGTGAGAAAAGTTTTATCCCTGGGGGAGAAAGAGAGCCCTATTAATCAAATTATCACACAAATCCACAAGACGATGCTAAAGAGGACAATAATGGTACCTCCTCCTAGGAGTGCTTTGTGGAAAGGATTAAATGCCTCTGAGTACCGAGGTGCCTTCAAGACACCACAGCTGCTACTATCTATCCCAATCCCTCAGATGACAGTTCCCAGAGTCAAAGAATTGGAAGAATGCTTTTTTATTTGTCAAGAGCTTCAAAGTTTTAAAAGCATTTTCCACACCTAAAAGCTGGTCCAGTCTTCCCAATAATCCCGGGAGGCAGGTGCTTTATTTTCCCCTTTATTTTCCCACTGAAGCCCAGAGAGGTTAAGTGACTTGCTCAAAGGTCCGCAGCAGGAGATCGCGGCCTCACACCTGGGCGCCCGTCGTCTTGGTTTTACCCTCCCTGGGTCGTGAGAGGGATCGGCCAGGAAGCACCCTGAGCTCTGGGGCACGAACCGGATCTCCACCGGCCGCGATGTGCTCCGGGAAGGCTGGCCTCCCTCCCCGGCCCGCGCACTCCTGGGGATCCCCGGCCCGGGGCTGCGCGTCCTTCCCTGCAGCCCACGCTCCCGCTCCCGCTTTCGGGGGTGGGGGTGGAGGGGGGACTGGGCCGGCCTTCTCCCAGCCAGCCGCACGGCAACGGGGCGCCCCCTTCCTGCCCCCGCCCCGCGCGCCCTTCGGGCGGCCGACCCCGACCCGCAGCCGGGCATCGGGGAGCCCCCGGGTGACAGCGCCTCTGCGCCTTCTCGGGTCCCGCCGGGGCGCCCCGATCGTTTTTTTCCGTGCGCCCTTCCCCGCGCCTGGAGCCGCCACTCCGGCCTCTCTCCCGGGCTCCCGGGCGGCGGGGCGCGGGGACCCAGGGCCCGAAAACTGAAAGCGAGGGGGACTGAGTGAAAAGAGCAAAGCAGAAGTAAAGAGAAGCAGCTGCGGAGAAGGGAACCCGCGGGCTGACGAGGGGTCTCCACCTCCCCACCCGCTCCGCCCTGTGGCTGCTTGGGGGTGGGTTGGGGGGAGTGGGAGCGTCTTCCCTGTCCTCCCCCACTCCGTCTAAAAGCCCCCGCCCAGCGCCCCCCATCCCGGGGCCAGCCCGAGACAACAGAGGCTCCCCTCGAGAGAGAGACACACACACAGGCTGGGACGGGGACAGAGGATGGGCACACCGCTCTCAGTAATCGCCTAGCTCTGAGCCACCCGACCCCAGGCCTGTAAAAGGACAATGAAACGAAAGGCTTCCAAATTTTAGAGCCCTGCAGGAAAAGCCGTTCCTGTAACCATTCCCCGGACACGTGGCGCGCATTGTTAATTGTGTGGGTGTCTTGGTCTCCTTCCGGCGTCCCTCCCCACCCCGACCCCAGCCCTGAAGTGGAGGCAGAGCCGCGTCTCAACTTGCTCTTGCTCAGGAAACAGCACAGCCTCTGTCATTGGCACAGCACTCTACAGTTTGTAAACCCACAGTGGATTTTACTTGAAACATATGTGAGTCACACTGCTTTGGGTTTGCTTTCTGCCTCCGCCAGTCACCGGCTGGATGAACTGGAGGAACTTGAACAACTTGCTTTAAAAGTCTCTGTTTAGTTTTCTGGTCTCTACAGTGAGGTTGATACAAGAACTCCCCTGGCTGAGTTATTGGAAGGATTAAGTGGCTGATACATGTAAGGTGCTTGCTCCCTGCACCCCTGTTAGCAGTTATGATTGAGCCCCTGCTGTGTCTAACTCAAGCCCAGAACTTTCCAGACTTGGCCCCTCCCGGTATCAAAAGGGGAAAGAAGCTTAAGGCAGCACTTCTCAGCTTACATGTGCACACAGCTCCCCTGGGGATCTGGCTAAAATGTGATTCTGATTCAGCAGGTCATGGGTAGGGCCCAAGATCCTGCAAGTCTGACCAACTTCCTGGCCCTGCTGCTGGGGCCTCGGCACCCTCTGAGAAGTGAGGCCTTAAGAGCAGTGGTTTGTAAACTTGACTGTAAGTCACAATCACCTTTGAAGGCTTGGTAAAATCCATAGCTGGGGCCCCACCCCCAGAGTTTCTGATTCCCTAGGTCTGGGATGGGGCCCTAAACTATGCGTTTCTGACAGTTCTCAGGTAATGGTGATGTCACTGAGGACAGAGAGCCTCTGTTTTAGAACCTCTTGCCCCATATGTTTATAGCCACTATTAATATCAAACTGGGGGAGCAGGGCTGGATCATAGAAATCATTAAACAACCAAGAGCAGATTCTCATGCTTTGGCGATAAGAAAAGTTTGGGGCGGGGGGATGCACCTGAGGTTGGGAGCCAGAAGACTCCCCGTTCATAGGGGTTAAAGCGCCAGAAAGAATGATCAAGGAACAGGGTGGGTTCCTTCTCAACATCCTTTTAAAAAACGAGAGAGACAAGGAAAGGCTGCCCTGACTCTTAAGGACAAAAAAAGAGGGAATGTCTGCCGCTCACATCTTCCTGTTTGGGATGTTTTCTCCCCAGACAACCAGGAGAGCCGGGGGAAGCCTGAGGGCGGCAGCAAGGCTCGCAAGGAGAGGACCGCCTTCACCAAGGAGCAGCTGCGGGAGCTGGAGGCCGAGTTCGCCCACCACAACTACCTGACCCGGCTCCGGAGATACGAGATCGCTGTGAACCTGGACCTCTCCGAGCGGCAGGTGCGGCCCAGGGGGGCCTCCTCTTCTGGCCATCCTTCCTTTCCTCTGCTCTCTCAGTCCCTTCCCTTCCCTGAACCTTCTCTTGTGTCTTCTCCCTCTGCCCAGTGCAGTGGTTCTCCCCTGCCGCTCTACCTGAGAATCACGCAGTGGGGAGTTTAATAACAATGATGTCTGGGCTCCACCCCGAGGGATTGTTTTCATTGGTCTGGGATGGAGTCTGGGCATCAGAATTTTTCAAAGGTCCCCTAGGTGGTTCTCACATGCAGCCAGGGTTGGAACCTCTAATCTGGTTACTCTCAGACTTGGGTGTACGCTGGAATCACCTAGGCCCTCGTTTAAAAGGCAGATTCAAAAGGGTGCCTGACTGCCTCAGTCAGTGGAGCAGGCGACTCTTGATCTTGGGGTCATGACTTCAAGCTCCATGTTGGGTGTAGAGATTGCTTTAAAAATAAAACTTAAAGGCAGCCCGGGTGGCTCGGCGGTTTAGCACCGCCTTCAGCCCAGGGCCTGATCCTAGAGACCTGGGATTGATGGATGGATGGAGCCTCACATCAGGCTCCCTGCATGGAGCCTACTTCTTCCTCTGCCTGTGTCTCTGCCTCTCTCTGTGTCTCTCATGAATAAATAAAATCTTAAAATAATAATATTTGATAGCTTTCAATTGATGAGGGACTCTGCCAGAGTACTCAGTCTACAAAACTAAGATTCAGATCCTGCCTCTACCACTTCCTAGCCCTGTGACCTCTGGGACATGTCTCCTGACCTCTCTGGGTCTCCATCTGTAAAACAGGTTCATGACCCCACCCTGCAAGTAATGCTGAAGCTCAGATGAGAAAATACACAGACCAGAGCTATCTAAACTACCAAGAGCGTTTTAAATGTGCCTAAGGATGAGGCTGGTGATTCTCTGCTCCCAGACCCCTGGGTTCTAGAAGCTAGAGGGAGGAGGTGTTGGCACAGGGGGAATGGGGCATGTGAAAGCGAGAGGGGCCAAAGGCCCAGTGACTTTTAGACCCTGCCCCCAAACTGTCAGGCTTTCTGATGCAAAGACAAGGAGACTCAAGACAGGCCTCTGGGCAGATTAATGTGTCTTCCCTTCTGTCTCAATGCCCGGTGCCTTTAGAGAAGCAAGGCAGCACAAGCAGGGGTTCAAGCTGGGCACCCTGGAACTGCAACCTGCTGTCTTGAGCATCAGTATGGGGAGGTAGGGACTGCCTGGGTGGCTCAGTCGTTTAGCACCTGCCTTTGGCCCAGGGCATGATCCTGGAGTCCTGGGATCAAATCCCACATCACGCTCCCTGCATAGAGCCTGTTTCTCCCTCTGCCTGTGTCTCTGCCTCTCTCTCTCTCTCTCTCATTCTCTCTCCTGAATAAATAAACCAAATCTTAAATATATATATATATATATATGGAGAGGCAGTTGAAGTGACTGGATTCCTCTGATTCCTCCATCAGGTCAAAGTGTGGTTTCAGAACCGAAGGATGAAGTGGAAGCGCGTGAAAGGGGGTCAGCCTATCTCCCCCAGTGGACAGGACCCTGAGGATGGGGACTCTGCTGCCTCCCCAAGTTCAGAGTGAGATTCTCCACGGAGAAAGAAAGACTGAGACCTCTACCCAGCTCCCCTCATCCCAATCCTCACCCCAATCCCACCTTTACCTTCTCCCATCCCTACCCCCCAGAGCAGCCTCTCCACATCTCTCAAAGACTCTTCAACACAAAGCAGTCTGGCATCTCTGGGAGCCGTGAAGTTTCCCAGAAAGTTCTATCCAGCTTTGCTCTGTCTTAGCAGTCTCTTCCCCAAGGCGTCTGCTTCCCGTAGCTCTCATAGCATCATACAGCAGCCAGACTGGACCCAAGTGAATCTGGGGAATAGCTCGAGGAACACTGCTGCTTGGGGTCTCTCGGCTGCCACCCACCCTTCCTGCTACCACCTTCCTCCCACACCAGCCAGCCCCCCTCCAGGTCTAGACACTACCTGGCCTTTTGGGAGAGGACTCTTGGGACCAGCTAGTGACCTGTGGAAGCAAGTGCTCCAAAGGAAGGAGATGACTAGAACCCCCACACCCCTAGACCACCCTTCCTTTCTCGGCTCTGTATATGAGGCTCTGGGGAGCCTTCAGTTGTCCCAAGACCCCAGGGAGAACTAGTATGAGGAGGATTGAGGACGGAAGGTCCTCAGCTGCTGCCAATCAGAAACCCAGTCCTTATCTTCCAAAGTTGTTGGCTGAGTGGGCAAGTTTATAACCCTGGCTGGAGGAAGACTGTGGGAAAAACAGCCAGGGTCCCTATATGGACCCATTCACACTGGCTTGACTGGGTGGCTGAGAACGGACCTCTTCTTTTAGAAGTTACTTCAGGGATATAGCTGAGTCTGCTGAGCTGCGCCCCTGAGCAATGGACCAGCTGTTCCTTTAAATCCACAGTTTTGGGATGGAAAACCTATCCAGATGCTCACATTATTGAGCTGAGGGCTGGAAAGTGTCCCCTGTGTTCCAAGGATGAAGAGATCATACTAAGCCCAGTGAATGAGCGCCTAGAAATGTGGAACCCTGGAGTGGAAGTATCCTGTGTTTTCAAGGGACTCTGCAAATGAGGACAAAAAAAAAAAAATCTCTCTTTCTCCGTGGGATGCATCTGAGCCCTTCCAATGTGTTCCACACTTGCTGTTATGACAGGAGGAGCTGCTAAATTTATGTACATGGACCGCCCAGATCTTCTGGGGTGACACTCCGGGAAAGATGGCCAAATAGCCTGGGGTGACCAGAGCCTTGGAGAGAGACCCCCGCCCGCCTCAGTGCTCTGTTTCTCAACACCAGCTGGTGTTGCACAGAGGTCAGGAAGAGTTTGGAGCTCTTGTGTATAGATTTAATCATTCACATTGTAAAAAGAACCCCACCTCCCCATCCCGAAAGGACAAACGCTCTGGAAAATGATTGCCAAATGAGATGGCTGGTTAGAGCATGTGTAATTTTTTTCTAAAGCGTATTTCATATATTTTCTTAAGATTACATCAAGTTAACTGTGCAAGATTAAGTCACTTAGTAAGAAAACTCTTGGAGAAATAAAATCAATAAAAAGCAAGTTTCCAAGGCCTTTTTCTTTGCAGAGCTAAGAACCACATTCTATATGCAACCCTCTGGTGTTCATGTGATGATCACCGGGACTGTGTCTGAAAACAAAGAAAAAAGAGAAGAAATCACTTAGACCAAGGGATCCCCTTTTAGGTTCTTCAAAATGGGGCGGGGCGGGGGAGCAGATGTCATCATTGTAAAAAATATGTTGTTTCCAGGCAACTGCATTGTTTTCATTTCCTCTTATAAAATTTTAGCTATCAGTTTCCCCAACCTGTGGCATACCAAATAATCGAAGTTCTGTAGACAAAAGATGAATTCTTTTTAATAAAGGAATCTTGACCATAAACTAACCACCCCTGATTTGAAGGGGGAGGGAGAAGCAAAGGGAGAGGGAGAGAGAGAGAGAATCTCAAGCAGACTCTGAGCCAAGTGCAGAGCCTGGCTCAGGGCTTGATCTTACGACCTTGAGATCACAACCTGAGCTGAAATCAAGAATTGGCCACTCAGTCGACTGAGGCACCTGGGCACCCCTCTAATTTTTAAATTCAGAGTTTGGAGGTTTTGTTTCTCAAGGTAAAACAATAGACACCAATAGTAATAAAAATGCCACAAGAAGAAATGTCCTCAGTCCTGTGCCTTTTTAATTTAAAAAGATTTATCTCACCAAGATGTTAACCATGGACAAAATAGAACTGGCTATGGAGAAGGGAGAGAGGGATTCAAGAGAGGAGACCAGGCCAAGATTCGCCCTTGAAGCAGTCTGGGCCCAGCATGGGCATTGACCAGAAATGACATCATCAGGAGCTGGTGGAGGAGGGCAGACCCACAGAATCAAGGGGCCATAGAGATTCAGGTTCAAAGACAAGCAAAATAGATACCCTCAAGCACTCCAATACTCCCTTCTCACCCTACTTCCCTGGCTTCAGAGGATATCAACATCTCCTGCTTTTCCTTGTCTATCCAGAATGTTCCTTCTCTGTCTCTCATGCTTTTGCACCCACTGCTGGTTCTTGAGCTTTCCTCCTTCTGCCTACCACCTTCCCTACTCTTCACACTCTACCCAGATAATCCCATCTACCTACATTTTCTTATTGGGGTAAAATATGCATAACATAAAATCTTAACCATTTTCAAGCACACAGTTCTGTGTCATTAAGTACTGTCCTAATGTTGCACAACCATTGTCACTATCCTTCTCCAGATTTTTTCATCTTCCCAAATGGAAACTCTATACCCATTTGTGAAGGAACTCCCTCTTTTCTCCACCTACATGTATATAGTGCTTACTCTGTACAGTGTTGGACACTATTCTAAGTGCTTAACATAACAATCCCAAGAGGTCATACCAAGTATTCCTCTTTCACTGATGAGGTGACCAAAGCAGAAAGCAGTTGAATAAACCACCAAGGTTTTATAGCTGGTTAGTGGTTGTGGTAGAGCATATGATTGGGCCCAATTATTTCCTCCCTTCTTCGTTAGGGGAATACAGCTCCCTGATCACTGCCATATGCTGTACCTCCCTTAGGAGGAGTGTACTTGCCCACTTCGTTGACCCCAGGCTTGTCCAGGTGTCTGGCTTTGGCCAATAGAATGTGAGCAGAAGAGCCAGGTGCCCGGTTACCAGAAGTTTTAGAGTCACTGTGTCTCTGTTATTGCTCTTTTCCCTCTGCACAAAGCTGAGATGGAGGTTCCACCATGAGCCTGGGATCCAGAATGAGAAAGATGTGGAACAAAGCCAAAGCCGATGCATAACGTTCAGCTTGGAGCGAAGGTTGTCAAAGAATAACCTGGAAGTTCTGATACATATATATATATATCAGGGACTCAACAAGTATTTGTCAAATAAATGAATGGACCCATGGACCCAGATTGAAGGAAACATTCTTATCACAATGCTTCGCCATGGGGAAGCTGGTGGACAAGGAAGTCTGACTCTGGTCCCGGGGTTGCATCTCTTTTCTGTGCTGTGTCCCAGATGTCTGGCCCCCAAGACATGTTGTCAGCAGTAGGAGACTCTGACCCAGGTGCAGCCCTTGGGCAAGAGCCCCTGTCGGAGCTCAGACTTGGAGTGGTAGTTGTGCATAAAGGGTTCCTGGAGTTCCTTAGAGATGGATCCATGTGGCTGGAACAGGGGGAGTATCACAAAAAATCTAGAAGAGAGGATGAGGCCTCAACAGCAGAGCAGCTGGAGAGGAGATTGCATGTTTAAGGAATATTTAGAACATAAATTAAGCAGGACAGGTGATGGATTGGTTTTTCAAGGGAAGAAAACTGGGGCACCAGGGATGATTCTAAGGCTTGAAAAGAATTAGTGCCAAACCATCTGTTTCTGGCTTGCAGATTCTTCCAGTCTATGGAAGTGAAGACATATGTCAGAGAAGACATAAAAGTTTGTCTTAAGCCATTAGATGTGGGGATCATTTGTTACTACTGCACCACCTTGTGAGAACTGACCAAAGCTGGGATTTGAACCCAGGCATTCTGGCAGCAGAATTCTAAGCTCATAGATCTACCAGCATATGGGAGCTTAAGTTTTTATATTCCATTCCCTACTACTCATACCACCTGGGTGACTACAGGCATCTCAAACTCAAAATATTTAAGGGACAATCTCCGTTACCCTGATACTCTGAATTCCATATTCTGTATTCTGAATACTTCATTTTAATTGGTGACACCATAACCTACTCATTCACTCATACCAGAGACCCAGGATGTGTTGTTGACACCATTTTGCTTTGCAGAGCCAGTCAATTACCGGGTCTTGCTCATTTCACTTCCGTGTCAGTATTCCTCATCCCTACAGCATTCTTTGTCTTCTCACCACCATTGCCTTTGTCCAGGCTGTCAACATCTTTCACCTGAATTAAAGCCCTCAATAGCTCTCCCTCCTTCTGATCTGAGACTTCTCAAAGTCCATCCCCTAGAACAATCACCCACACACACAAAATCCAACTTTGTCACCCTAGATTTAAAATCTATCAATGGCGTCCCATCGTCTACTCTTCAAACTCTTCCCAGCCTCCAAGGTTCCCATGCTCTGACCCCTGCCTACTTCCACCACCTTGTCCCACCACCTCTGCCACAAATTCTGTGCTCCAGCAACACCAAGCTGCTCACTCTTCTGTGTACACACACTGGCCCAATGTGTGATTTCTCTCCTGCATTCCTTGTTAATTCCTTTCCTAAGGACTCAAGCATCTAGGAGCACTAAAGGGACTACTGGAAAGGAACACAGAGCACATTTTAATGTATAAATATAGCCCAACTAATTTTCAACATCAGGCAGCAATATGAACATTAATTTCCAAAATCAGTAGGAAAAAAAGGCTCAAATGTAAGAATTTAAATTTCCCCAATAAACACAGTTAAGAAGTTTGTTGAGGAGAGTCTTATGGAGAAACTGGAGGTACATGCACACATCAATCAAGTGTTTTCTGGTTTCTTTTGAACACTCCCTGCGCTCCTCCCACATTTTAGCATTGGCATTTGATTGACCAGTCAACAGTAGCTGGGGCGGCTGCTCCTCAAGTGAGTAAAAATCCTCTGTTTTGTCTTGGGTACAAAGCTGTACAAGAGAAGCAAGGCCACCCACTGGCGACTCCCTGATGTGAACCAGTGACTGTGACAGAGATGGTGACTTGGTAGGAATCCAAACAGCCAAGAATTCCCATACAGTAACTTCTCGGTAATGGTTTTCTCCATCCTTGAGAGAATATCAAGGACAAGCAAGTGTGTAGCTGCCCTTCAGAGAGAGGCAGAAAGGAAGCAAAGTAGGGGATCCATTTCCCAGTGAAAGGGACTCAGTGGGGCTCAGGGCTTCAGAAATCTACCTGCCTCAGCCCGGGCCTTGGGAGGGATGCCTGCATTTCTGAGGGCTTATCTATTCAAAGAAAAGAACGGGTGTGTGTCCGGCAGGAATCCATGCTTTCCTATCTGTTCCCCTAAATCGCCATAGTTCCAGTAACCAACAGAGCTCATGGTGGGTGGCTTTCTTTCCTTCCCTTGAAAGCTATATATTCTCCAGCCAGGCAGAGGCCCTGTGCCAGCTAATCCCCTATAGTTACCAATGCAGCAATTGCCAGTCATGTCATCTCCTGGTCACCACAGCACTGGGCTGTAACCATGTTCCTTCTCTCGCTGGTTGCACCCTCTCAGTCCCACAAACCCTGAATAGACACCTTCAAAAATATCTTGACACTTTTCTCCATAGCCTCTCCACACCCTTCTCTACTGCTACATCATCCCCGGCCACTACTATCCTTTTATCTCTGTCTTCCCACTTGTGTTTCTTCCTTGGTGGCCATTGCCACAATTTATAATTCTTAGATTTGTTGTTTGCTTATTCATTTGTGGTCTGATTTCCAAGCTGGAGAGAGGAAAAGATGATGTGTTTCTCTGACAGTTTTTACTTCCAGCTGCTAGCATGATGCCCAGCACATAATAAATGCTCAGTAGATCGTTATTGCATGGTGGACAAGTGAGTGCATGGACGCATAGAGGGAAGGATGGAAGAGGGAATTGTTAAACTAATAGTGTCACCTAACTTCTCAGCTCACGAATGACCATTGCTGGCCACATGGCCCACGTAAGAGAAGCTGTGGCCCAGAAGTGAGTTAGACTGGCTGCCTTAATGGAGCCCCAGTCTTTTGAGCCCACCAGGTCCAGCATGCCAGGCCAAAAGAGGGACACTGGACACCTACCTTGTTTCTGTGACCCAAGGGAGCTATCTCTGATTCTGGCCAAAGGACCAAGATTCTCTGACACCCACTCCCCGATTCTCAGCTCTAAGCCTTATCTGAAGTCTAAATGAACTTCTCCCCCTTGACCTGCAATTGGCAAAGAAGCAGCACCACGGCTCGGCCTCTGACAACAGCAAGCTCAGAGGCATGCCTGATAAGAACCTTGTAAGCTCACGCTCATTTCTGAGGGTGATGTTTAATAGCTTGAAGGTGACATCAGGGTTGAGACTAATATCCGATTGAACAGAAAGAGAC